CGGCCTTCGACTCCTACACAAGGGCAAACGAAGATCTCTACGCCATTCTTTTCCTCCTAGTGGAACCTCCAGTCGCCTTGTCGGTACAGAAGCACAAAGACGACACTGGCATCAGCAGCGACGGACAAGCTGCCTTCGAGGAGCTCTGCAACAACTATGACAGGGAAACGGACGAGGTCATCAGGGCCAAGATGGAGGAGCTGGAGAATAACCCCATGAACCCTGGTGAAAATCCCGACGACAACTTCAACTAGAAGCACTTACTTCGCGCCCAGCTGGATAAGATAGGAGAACCCATCTCCGGCCGCCGCTTCAAGGACATCTGCGTACAGGGCTTCTCCGACGAAGNTCTGCAACAACTATGACAGGGTAACGGACGAGGTCATCAGGGCCAAGATGGAGGAGCTGGAGAACAGCCCCATGAACCCTGGTGAAAATCCCGACGACAACTTCAACCAGAAGCACCTACTTCGCGCCCAGCTGGATAAGATAGGAGAACCCATCTCCGGCCGCCGCTTCAAGGACATCTGCGTACAGGGCTTCTCCGACGAAGATAAGGACGTCAAACTGATGGTGTTCAGGGACCCAACCTTCAACGTCCTGGACATGCAATCCACCATGCGCAACATCTTCTTGGACGAACAATCGCACAAGGGATGGAAGGGACGCATAGCTGGTCGAGGATTTGCCATGGCAACGACCGCGTCTGACATCATCTGCCACAGCTGCTACGAGCCGGGGCACATCAGGAGGAACTGCCCCAAGATCAAGAACAGGGCGAAGAAGAAAACGAAGCCCGCCGGAGCTACCAAGTGGTGCTTCAAGCACAACACCACGTCTCACTCGGACGAGGAATGCTACCAACAAGAAGGAAAGCGCCCGGAAGACACCAAGGACTCAAGGAAGCATTTACTGCGTGCTCCGACTGCACTCACTGCTCGTCGGCGTCCAACAAGAACGACTCAAACAATGAAGTGGCAGTTGTCGACTTCACCCGGGACGAGGACGCCTTCGACAGCGGCTTCATGTTCGCCACGTGTTCCCGCATCTCAAAACGCAACTTCGCCGCGAGCTCCACCGGGGTGGGACTGCTGGTAGACACGGGAGTATCGGAGACCATGGTTGACAATCGCTTCATCTCCGACGGAAACCTTCACGATTACACCCAGCGAAACTCTCCAAAGATCGTCGATGTGGCAGGAGAAAGCCAACTCACAGGCACGGCCACGGGCATCCTATACTGCACCTTCAAGNCAACTTCGCCGCGAGCTCCACCGGGGTAGGACTGCTGGTAGACACGGGAGTATCGGAGACCATGTTTGACAATCGCTTCATCTCCGACGGAAACCTTCACGATTACACCCAGCGAAACTCTCCAAAGATCGTCGATGTGGCAGGAGAAAGCCAACTCACAGGCACGGCCACGGGCATCCTATACTGCACCTTCAAGGACAATCGAGGATAGCAATTGCGCGTGCGAATTCAGGGACTCGTCGTTCTGGGGCTTGGTCGCAACATTGCTTCGCCCACCTCCCTCCTGATAAAGGGATTGCACTGCNCCGACGGAAACCTTCACGATTACACCCAGCGAAACTCTCCAAAGATCGTCGATGTGGCAGGAGAAAGCCAACTCACAGGCACGGCCACGGGCATCCTATAGTGCACCTTCAAGGACAATCGAGGATAGCAATTGCGCGTGCGAATTCAGGGACTCGTCGTTCCGGGGCTTGGTCGCAACATTGTTTCGCCCACCTCCCTCCTGAAAAAGGGATTGCACTACGTCGTCGAAGAGAGCACTCCGCACCTCACTGTTCAAGGCAAGGTGATTCCATTCACACAAGATCCGCGAGACCAAGGCATGTGCACCCTCGACATCACGTTCGAGCAGAACGTCCAGCCATCTGGCACGAAATCCCTCGTGCCCCAACAGAAGCAGTCACAGACCTACACGGCGAACGCCGTCTGCTTTACGCTTGTGAGCGCCGACACCTGGCACAGGAGGCTTGGACATCTCAATGCTTGGAGCCTGGACATCCTTCGGAAGGACACGGGGACCGGGGTGGACTCGGGACCGGGGTGGACTATCGCGACAGTCTCTCCCCTTGCGGGGTCTGCCAGATCACGAAACACAAGCAGTTCCCTCACCCGAAGCAATCAACCNGAGCACTCCGCACCTCACTATTCAAGGCAAGGTGATTCCACTCACACAAGATCCGCGAGACCAAGGCATGTGCACCCTCGACATCACGTTCGAGCAGAACGTCCAGCCATCTGGCACGAAATCCCTCGTGCCCCAACAGAAGCAGTCACAGACCTACACGGCGAACGCCGTCTGCTTTACGCTTGTGAGCGCCGACACCTGGCACAGGAGGCTTGGACATCTCAATGCTCGGAGCCTGGACATCCTTCGGAAGGACACGGGGACCGGGGTGGACTCGGGGACGGGGTGGACTATCGCGACAGTCTCTCCCCTTGCGGGGTCTGCCAGATCACGAAACACAAGCAGTTCCCTCACCCGAAGCAATCGACTCGCGAACTATCACGGCCTGGACAACTTGTGGTCATCGACAACATGGGGCCTGTCAATCCACCTGCGAAATACAAAGGAAGCTACTTCCCGTACGCCTGCAAGATCACCGACGACTACACGAAAATGAAATACAAACCCTGGCCGGAGTCACCCGGTGTCTTCTGAAGGATGGAGATTTTCCGCCATGTGGGGGGAGTTAATGCTGACTGCTTTTACAACGTCCTTGCCAAGCGACGAAAGCCCAATCCCGATGGCAAACACCGAGGGGGGCCGCTTGTTTTACAACGTCGTTGCCGAGCGACGAAAACCCAATCCCGATGGCAAACACCGAAGGGGGGGGTGTACTCATGGTCGTGCATGCCGTAGTCGTTTGACCATTGACCTCGCATCCCTACAAAGCCGGGACGGAGCACGCCGGGTTCTCACCGGACCAGGCTCTCACATCACCAAGCGCGAAGCGCCGTGAGATATTCGGCGAGTCGCATGAAGGGTGCGCTGCATCCTGCTAAGGGTGTTCGGCATCTTGTGCTCACTTCCTTGCATACGGATGACAGCTGCGATGACTTAATTTTTTCTGGCGCTCTCACTTCCTGAGACAGTTGTAGTAAGCACTGTGTAACTGCCTCGAGGGTGCTTGACCATTTTAACACAACGTGGTGCGATCATCCCCCTTGCGCGGAGTGAGGGTTCTCCACGCCGCACAACATGATCTACTCGACCACCAATATGGTTACCGCCAAAAGACAAAGCAGAGGTAAAAAAAACGGTCACCTGGTTGCCGAGTTCACAAAGTGAGTTGGCTTGTTCTACAACGTCGTTGCCAAGCGACGAAACCCAATCCCGATGGCAAACACCGGGGGGGGGGCGGCTTGTTTTACAACGTCGTTGCCAAGCGACGAAAAC